TGAGCAATAAATTGTGCTCGAAACGTCATCAGTAAATGTTACTGTATAACACTGTGAGACTCTATCAAAATAAAATTTACCCATAATGGCAGTATATACAATAAATTTGAAATATCAGAATGAGGGCATTCAAAATAAATTTAATAGTACAATAAAGATAATGAATCCCTGGAACTTTTGTGAGAGAGGAATAAAAGAAGCATTTTAGCTCTCACACTCACTAAAAAACAAACTACATTCGGTAAAATCATCCAGCTCTGTCCACCAGACAAAATTGCATACAAGATTCCAAGGACAAAATCTGAAAATCTTTAAACCGATTTTTGATTAGATAACTATCCACTTCAGGGAATCTTCAAGATCAATCAGAATATCCTGAGGAAAGCTGAAGGCGGAAAATAAACTGAAACTGAAAATAGGGACAAAGAGGAAAATAAAATCTTCACTGTTTTGATAGGGAAAACTTGAAAATCATGTAAAATCCATTATCAACCAGAAGCCTGTGTAGAATAACCATGTTACCCTCCGAAGGGAATAACTGGAATAGATCTCAAAAATACTAGGAGAGAAGTATCCTCATATGGACACCCGAATGGGCAAACAGATTGAAAGACAAAAGAAGACATCATATGAGTCAGTGTTTTCGGAGTCGTCTGTGAGCTTCACTTTTGGTCCTTATGTAAAAATTCATTCAATTCATTAAACGTATGCAGTTACACGCCCAAAAGTCAAAACACTGATTTCACATTGTAAGCACGTGAAATAAATAATAAACTCAGTTACCATTCCCAACGGCAGCAAATATTCACCTTCTCAGTCAATCTTCTGTATCTCTCCCACTGCTGGAAAACTACTGTAGTGATTAATCGTAACAGTAGGAACGAAAACAAATCAAGTATTATCCTGTTCACAACGATCGGACTGACGTGGGCTGTTAGTATGAAAAACGATACACGTTGCTGTACAGATCTTCATCTCAGCAAATAGTTGTGTGCAAAGTAGTACCATGAAATTCAAGGAATTTGTGGTCATTTTAATTGATCACCATTTACAAGTTGACTGGAAATAGCACCACAAAACACAGATTTGACAGTTAATATCAAGTCTTTGGAGAATACAGATGTCATTACTGTCATTTTATTAATTGATGCTGAGACCGGATGAAGTCGTCAAAGAAGCAAACGTGTAACAGCAGAAGGCAAGTCATGAAAGCCAAGATATATTTTGAAGTGATCGAACCAATATATATATCTGTTTACATTCTTTGACCAATTACTTAGCGTGTGATTTTCGTTTACATTTAATGGCTTGAAATAGAATGTTCAGACACTTGTATAATTCTATTGCTAATCCAGTACTCAACTGTGCGAATAGCATTCAGACGTTGACACCGACAAATACAATGATTCTTACTGTGAGAATAATATTCCGTTGAAATTTATTGTGTGTATTGCACCACCACAATAGAAACGGATCAGGAGACATCAGCGGACATGCATACCACAGCAGAATGCGTGTAAGGAAAGAAAAGTACCTGTCGATTGGACAAGAAGCCGCGTAGTCGAACTACCAAAGAAGGTTTACCTAGGTTCCCACGAGAACTGGATGGACACATCACGTCTAGTTCGAATGAATGTGCGGATAAATGCTAGCTAGTGTCATTAACTACCGGTAAAGTTATAATTCAAAGAAAACTGACTGGAGTTAGAGGTTATATGTCACGGGACTCCGTCTTAGTGATTGGCTCACCTCGTAAACTGAAAAACTGAAATTCATTACTCGACGGCTTAATGGAGTAATAAAGAAAATTCGCACTTCTAACCCACTGAACAGGTCCTAGTCACCTCCAACAAGATGCTGCGCAATCTCGAACTTGAAAGTGATATTTAAGCTAAAAGTCTCCTCAAAGAGCTTCCGAAATCTGTACCATTCCTTCTCCTATGGGTAATTGGCGACATCATCGCGTAAACTGGACAGATCAAATCTTATCAGTAAGAGTTAGAAATTTTTGAGTGTGTTGATATTTTGTGTATGAATGTGTGACTGAGCTTATCTGTTAAAGTGGTAATTTCTGAACCACTGTATTATTCTAGGTTTCATATTGCATGACGCTATGTGGTGCGTCTATTTCTGAAGTTATATGCGGATAAGCAGACCTGATTTTCTAGGAGAAAGCGAGTGTAATAAGCACTTTAGATGCTTCCACCATTTCATATCCGAATGGTCTCCACAAACTGCACGTTTCTAAGTAACTCTTGTCAAGTGACCTTACTATGACTGACACTAAACACTTGTTCGTCGGTAGGTTGGTTTCTTTCTGAGACAGGGCAATGAAAAATCCCTTTGATGTGACATCTGGCTTTGACGCTTGCTGAAGGTGATATTCGTCCTCCTTTCCCATTTTCATGATTTAATTTATTCTGTTGTAGCTAATATTACTCAGTAGATGGGCGAAGTCATAGTCAGTATTCAACCTGTTTCTCAATTGGATCGTTGTTTGAGTGAATAGTTTCTTCTCTACGATTGACCAGTGGTCTCCTTAATGTGAGAGATCTGAGTTTATTTTAGTGGTTGTATGAATGTTCTAAAATCCATGGAGAGAATAATTAAGAGAAATTTACTGGTACGAATGATACCTTTTGTCACCATTCAGTTCTTACTGTTTACTTACTTGAACAACACCACTAAGCACGCCTTTGGTCAAATGAATTTTAATATTATTTTTTAATGGTACCTTATTTGCAAAAAACATGAATCGATATTATGTTTTGATCTATTTGTATTAATGAACAGAGGGACTTTGTTCCATGCTCATTACAATTTGTTCAGAAATCAATGACACCTTTTTTTCAGGTGATGAAAATGAAGACACATAGTCTGGTTTTGTTCACTTCATTACTCTCGACTTATCCATAAGGCTCGTGAAGCTCGTTACTTTGAACGATTTTAAACTCTGTTCTTTAAAATTACTCAATTTGTTTGTCAATAAATGTTAGTGGTTACAGTAAATCCTGATTCTATGTGCGAATTCAGCAAATATTTCGTCTCATCGAGAGAAGATGCAAAGTCCAACAGTAGAGAAATAAAATCTGAAAGACACGACTGTCTGTCATGCATATACTTTAAAATAACAGCAAGTTTAACTCGAAATTAGGACTATCCAGTGTGCGTGTGTATTCATCGTATAAAAAATTTTATAACCAACAGTATTAGTGAGTACAGACAGACACCGTACTTCATAACAGTGTGGTTAGTGCTACTTATAATCCGATATAAGTAGTATATCAGAAACGAAGTAACAATATGTTTGACACACTGGAAAGAGCAATCAAAGAAGAGAACCATGAGAAAAATAATGCCATATGATGCAGAATCCAAGAAGCTATCGAATGAGATGATATTCGACCAATTCGTCAAAGATGTGGTAAATGATGTGCAAATGGCCTGTTGAGAATATAGTATACCAAATTTAGCTGTGTACCATTCGTTTCACCAAATAAACATTCCTTCCAGCCTCCTCAGTCATGTCTTTTTTACAATAGCATGGAAAAGGTTCAAATTACATTAGAAGAGAAAACTCATCTAACACACCATGTCTGGTTGATTAATGCCTACAAGTCTGAACTGCCTATGATTTCCCATCACCTAATGATGAAAGCAAACAGTGCTATAGTATTATTTGTTGATGGCGTTTCAAGTATGATGAACTGCTAATAATCGCACCAAGGCATTACAATACCTTTCAAAATTCATCTGTATTTATATGCATTATTTCTTGTCCCTTGACTTTAGTGGTAGCAGTATAGCCAGTATTGGCATTGTGATTTTTTTTGAGCTTTTTAAATCTCACAAAATGTAGACACTTTTCCTTTTTTCCAGAAAAATTATTTATCATCAATAAAAGTACTCATAATTATTTTGGAGCAACTTGTATAATATGAGTGTGAATGATTTACCAATGCTGAGTTCAGAGAAAACCATTAAGAGCAAGAAATCATGAGCTGATTAGTTAGAATTACTCTTGAATCACCACCATCTTCAACTCGTACGTGAACACCATCAAATTTATGATTATATTAGATAAAATCTAAACCTGCTGACCTATGGGACTATATTCAAAGTGGATGGGAAGTTTCCATTAAATGAACTTAAATGTGAAAATTTCAGTCATCATCCTCCGTGAATGGACGGCACTAATGTGACCCACTATTAACATTCATCAAATTAATAAAGAGCACAGTACGCCAACAAAGCAATCAACTACATGCTGAAATAACTTAGACTTGCAGAAATGAATTTCTCTCCGACGGTCATTAATTTTCTTGCAGCAGTGTGTCTCTAAAATGACTCTTATCTACAAATTATTCACAATGTGCCATGAAAAATATTCAAACACATCATATTCATTCAAAATCACCACAGGTATTACATCCTGAGACCCATGAATTCTTCACAGACGTTTTTTATGGACTAATCCTCACACACCACATTCCTTCATTTATTTCCTGTAAAAGTCATCTGTTAATAAAAATTGCCGACACTGAGGATGAATAAACATTTGAAAAAATCACCAATCTATCCAGTACTTATATCGACTTAACCGACATTTCAAGAAAGACACATTCTTCTTAAGAACTTCTGATACTCAAATAAAAGTGGAAGATCTACTTCAAAAAGATTAATTTATTTTAAAAATTTGAAATGTGAACGGTCGTACATTCAACAGTTAACATGCGTTGTGGGGTTTATACATTAGACAAACACATAAATCACAGTCGAAATTGCCTGACTCAGTGCGATAAAGCCATTCGATATGCAGCTTTACTTGGATAAGCTGACAAAGACAAGCGCTGCCTAAAATAAACATAGTCACAAACACGACAACATGAATGATTCGATTTTTATTGACTTTTATGTATGGTTTCAACTTCGTGAATGAACAACGATTCATGATTTAAATGAATGAATCAAATGGAGAGTGAATTCTATCTGAAATGTTATTCACACATTTATACATTTGTGTTAAGCATGAAGCTTTGTCAATACAAAATTTGCTTTTACAAATTGTTTACGATTTGAAATATTACTGCATCTGACATTTACCACTGAAGCCATTTCAGTAGACATTTTCACAAGTTCAAAACATTACAGTGAACTTACTAAAATTACAGAAGTGTTCCAGAGGCCACCAGCCAACGTCAACCAAAGAGGCTGAAATATATTGAGATAAAATGCAGTTAAAATTTCGATCACGGGTTCTAACAGAATAAGTGCATGATTCAGATTGTAGTAGTTGGATTAAAAGGCCGAATGAAATGAAACTACAAAAGCTTTTAATTAAACGCATAGGTGTTTGTAACACTTGGATCATGGAAATGCTTCTTTTCATATAAATGTCAGCTTCACATCTTCTACAGTCAGGTAATAGAATGTTTTCACATCATTAATGAGTCACACACAAAATAACTGTGATACTGTTTCACAGACAAGTGAATGTACTGTGATTATCGAATCACTGGACAAATACTCTTATTCGCTTCCTTCTCGCGTGTTGACGTAAACATGTTCAATCCTAAATATACAGAGATTAGCACATAACTGGAATTTAATGTGTGAAGTAAAAACACTTAAATGAATCGGGAAATTACGCGGATAAATTTCAAAATGCTGCATTTTATTTGATATTCACATTCACTCACCTCATCCCGTTTTAGAAAATAGATAATTATAACAGCTATAAAACAAGCCAATGATATTGACAACATTGTGAACTCTACTACTCGTATCAATCTTTTAGTTAAGAAGCAGAAGATAATTGTTAATAAGTCTTCCAGAATGATGAAGCCAATTAAAATATAACATGGGTATTTGAAATTATCACAACACAGCAAAATAATATCCAGTGACCATAGAAGAATCTGTTAAGAAAATAAAGTGAATGTGTTCAGTGGATCAATAGAAAATACTAAATTTGTGCGTAGAGTTGTGACGTGATTCGAATGTCTTGTGAGATAACATCAAAGCTTGATTCACAGACGTAAAAATACATAGTTGTTTTACATGTGACAAGTTGGGCAATAGATAGAATGATCTCCATTCAGGTTTCGTGCCTTCATCAGCCAGTCTAATGTGATACACCACTAATTAGCTTGGTCTCAAATGCGCGACATAGCCGTCCTCGGTTTGGATCCCTTCCATCCGGCTAGGAGGCAATACTGGTTGATCTGATTGCTATACAACTACTCACCTTCATAGCAATAAGCGGATAAGATATTGTGATCTGAGCAATTTCAGTTTCCAAAGGAAAGTGTGGTGAAATTTCACCTGCTCGTTTTACGTGAGTTCCAAATAGTCAAATAGTTTGAGAATTGCGATTTCGATTTATTCCACAACTACTGGCACGAAAGGACTTGTGCATCCTCAGAGTTCCATAGCTACTTGCAGAGTGGATTTACAATGTGTCTTGTTCTGGATCTAGCTTTCATTACGAAAACGAGATTTATGTCGTCTCGTAAAACCACTTACCATTGGAATCATAATATTGCATCCTCTTGTGTTTATCAATTTTCAGTTCAGTGTGATCACACCGACAAAGGTAGCATCCATCGGTCTATTCTTAGATGGTCAGAACAACTGGCATCACCTTACTCAAATTATTCAAAGTCATATGTCGCTAGGCTCATCACAGAGACAGGTCGTTAAGTCAGTTTCAATAGTGCTTTCAGATGCAGAATATAAAATAGGTTATACTTTATACACTGATTCGCTGAAGCGCTAGACATATGAAGGCCTCAATCTGGTTTATGCTTTCGAAGATGACGCATTAATTGGAATCTATCCTGGTAATCCATTTTGATAAATTATGTTAATTCTGCTCAAGAATATTTTCACCACTTAACTAAAATCTTGACTCTAACCATTCATGAGACCTATAGTTATTCACAATTGATCCTACATATTCTGTCAGCTTTTGTGATCAGAATGTTCAAAATACACTGCATTATGTCTTCCTATTGTTTTGTAGAAATCAGTTCATCTACTTCCAGGTGAATGGCACAACAAAAACAGGAAATGATAATGGGTAAATGAAGTCAACTCATAATTGTGATGCTCTTCATTACTTACTATTATTCCAGTCAGGATCATTGCAACCAATGGATTAGTTCTGAATCTGAAGAACGACAATACAGTCAGTGGCACAATCAGAGCTCTGAAGCGCAATTAGAAAAAAGCCTCAGTGAATATTCAGAAACGAAACTGAGGTATATGTATGTGGACATATTGGATACTGTAGGAGTATGTGTCTCCATATCATATTTTGTCATCACAAAGTGAAAGAGCCTTAATTATGTTATCAACTGAAAGCATTTACCAATAGAAATTGCTGCTCATATAACAATACCTTCACACCCTTTAGTGAAGTATACAACAACTTTTAGTGAGGTAAATCATTTCCTATCCAATTTATATACTTCGTGTCTCTAGATACCCAATAAGAAGCCAACGCATACGAGTAAGAGTGTCTTAACGTAATGTTTATGCTCGAATTAGCGACACTGATGATATATTGTCTTTGTTCTGAGTAAAACCAGTTCCTAGATGATAATTCACTCAATATCAATGTGAATAATATTTACCGACCAATAAAGAAGAAGTCATACATCGCTGAGCTCAGACAAGAAATCCCTGAAATGATCAATATTAATACAAGTGTTTAGACAGGTATGAAATCTGCTGAGGCAAACAGTCATTATGAAGGTCATCATAATTAGCAGACGTCGTTCATGTGAATTTTCGAAATATTCATCTGACCTCAATTTGAAGTTGAATATGCAGTCTAAATTGACTTTGATGTGTTGGCGATAAAATAACCAAACGTAAAGAACTGAACCACAGAAAAAAACATCCGAGCAAGCAATAATGCTTTGAGGTAATTTCTGCCAAATCACCAGTCGTAGCATATCCGTAGGCCTAATGCAGTGTAAGAGTATGTGAATCTTAACGACCTGCACACATCCTACAAAAATGGACGAATACGTAAACAGAAAATTATCTGAATCCAGGTGTATCACTTCAGTCAGTAGTTGGCTTGAGTGCATGCATCCAGTTTTCCCTGATTGACTACTGGGATGATTTCTGGGATTATAATCATCAGTTGACATAAGCATATTGAAAAGGATTTGCTTCTTATACTGTTTATCTGAAAGACTGCGAAAAGCAAGACTTACAAGCTACTGATTGCTGTATAAAAGCGCCAATCTAAATAAACCATTTCGCCCACCTAAAAAATAAAATAACCATCAGTTGTAAATCACACTCCTGACACCAGTCAGAGATCGCCTATGCCAACATATTTACGAAAGGTGTTATGAAATGCTGTTCAACATGGTAATAAACTTGAGATGCTTCACATTGAGATTATTTATTGACTTTTTAGGTTCATCTTGTCACCACCAACGTTTGATGCCGAAGGTTTGTTTATGGATGTAAGTAACGCGTAGGTAATTTTGACTTCCTATGGAACACCGACATGCATCCATATTAAACAAGAAATAATAATATGCATATACATTTTAAATTCAATAATTCTGGACTGGAATAACTATCGGTGTATACACAGGAACATATCAACTTCTAGTATAAATCAAACATTTCAATATGTCAAAATCAGCCGTCTCCTTCCTCAATAAACGCTTCTCACGAATCCTACCTGTTCAGGATTTGCATTAGTGATGGACGAAAAGGGACTTTTGAAATGTGAACAATACAAGTTGTGTTAGACGGTGTGAAATCTTTTTAACTTCGAGGAAATGTTCACCTGTGTTCCTCTTTATCTTACGGTAATTTAATAAATAGTAATCCAGTAAAATAAACATTTTTCGTTTTACAAAACGACCACTGTTCAGGACTGGCATAGACTAATACACGTCACAAGCAATCGAATCAAATGAAGCCACTGAGATTCTGAATAATCACAAGAAAAGTATACCAATGACAATTCATGATGAGTGAACTACTTACCTGAGAAAAGTTAACCACCCAACATTAGACGTTATGAAGCTCACTTAGAGAAACGAACAATGAATGCCCGAATATATCCATTTCATTCTCTAAACTTTGACTCTCAGTATTTTTCAATATCCATGGTAAGTTGTTTTGTAATTCGTACCAAAGGCCACAATTCCCATCAAGGTTTTGTTTTTTACTTATGAGCACAACCAAGTCGTTACATGCCTATTCAGGCAATACTTCTAATCAGGACTGAAAACGTGTTACTTTGAACCATTTGATAAAAGAGGGCGGAGTTTACTGAACGGAATATGTAAATAAACAAAAATATTAGTGATATTACGGTTCATTTAACTATATTGATGTGAATGTGTGTTTTATAGTAGTGGATGTTTATGAGACAGTTGTGTTCAAAATTTTGAATGCATCGAAAACTACCAAGAAATCAATTCGATCTCCATCATGTGGAGATCCTGTGATGAAGCGAGATCTGACGTGGAGTGTTGTTAGTTGTAAGGAATGTCTCAAAGAGATTAAATGAAATCCGAGTAGAATTCAGTCTTCTTAATTCTCCTTGGTGATTTGATTGAAAGGGCATCTTGGAAATATGAAACCCTTCTAACGAATAAGAGGAGTGAATTATGCAATGTCACATCTGTGGAGATATATTATGTTCCCCGTTCTGTGTCATCAAACACTTTAGTAACAATAGTGATGAATTTACGGAAACACAGTTGTTACTATAATTCGTCCTACAGTACACCTATTTAATTCCTTGTATGCATTGATCAATATTAACAACTATGTTTTTGACAACTCCTCACTATTTTTACTACACTTTTTCATGTAAAATTGTGTACAAATGATACTGGATAGCTAAATAAAGTGAATTTACCGAAAACAGTCAATTCACGGAACCATGTCGTGTTTTTCATGCAACATGATTATGTAAATACGTGTAATTTCCAGTGATATCTCCTTTTGCTTGCAGAAGTAAAGCAACCTCTTCCTAAGCTGTCTATCCTGTCCATCTCAGTGTTAGAATAGTTTTCAATTCACAAACCCTACATTGTTGCACTGTTGAAGAGACAGTAGAACAAACACACATCTCAATACCGTTATACCAGTCCACTTAAGAGGTAATACTTTTGAGATTAAACAGAAGTCTGCACTACTAATCACCGACAGGTGAATTTTAAATATTGTATACTCCAGACCTCAATACTTTGATTCGATCATGTGTCAATAACTTCACGTGCATGCACTCGAACACGCAATCTACAGACAAAATCAGTTGATCCGTTATTTCACACTCCAGACCTATCACAACATCCAGGTCAGTATGAGTTTGGACTAAATGTGAGATTTTTTCTCGACGTAGCATAACTCATTCTTAGTGCACTTCACATGAATGCATGCAGGTATTCTTCCATGGCTATATCACTTAATTTCACTCATTTTTCATAGTGATTATCATCATCTGTGATGAGCCCTGAGTCATATATCATTAAACTATGACATCTTAAGTAAAAGGTCGACTCTTTTTTCAAGGCCTAGGCTATATTAAATGTTACGTGTGACTGAAAAAGTGGTTTGCGTTTTACGTTAAAATTGGTGAATTCCATCTTTTTACCATATTCAATTCATTGAATTGAGTCTAACATCTGTGTATCTATCATTCGTAAAGAAGAGTGTTCATCAACTTGTTCCATGATATATTTATTAAGCTTGAGTTCATCCTTTGGCATTACTGAAGATCTGTAGGTGGTTAAATGATACACCAGATGAAATAGTAATTAAAACATTAAATCAAATATTCTGAAATGTACAATTTACAATTGTGAAACATCATGCAGTTCTTCTCATTAGTAAACTTGATCAAGACAAGAATTAATAATGTAACAGCATCACATGAGCTCAGTCTCCATTGTTTCACCATCTGTTTTGAAATGTCATCGTTGCTTGAGTTGGACGTCAGATTTTACTGCAAATTGCTGTTTTTCTGTTGTGTTTGGGTCATTTTGTGACTGTGCGTAAGTCAATGATGGTTCATTCAGGTAAACAGTGGGAGACAGACATCGATTTTCTGCGTTTAGATCGCAACACTTCGGATTACTGAACTCACAGGACAGCTGATTCACCTTGATCACTGTTACATGTGGTATAACCGAATGTGTTTTCAACGATATCTCTGATCATTTGCAAAATACATCGAAGCATTAAGAAATAATCAGCGCCGTCAACCATCCATCATAATCACTATGATCACAAGACAATGGTTTGTCTGGCAGCAGTCAGTAATATAGTCTTGTTATGTACAGACAATGTTCTGCTTAAGTTGCTTTGTCACCAACCAATTTATTCTGAGCAACAAGAGAATGATGGTGTCATAGATATTTCAACTAGACATGTATTAAGATAATTCGAAACATTGTATCGAATACTGAACAGAGGTCACTGATTACTGAATATCTGAGATAATATGTTTACCATGTCATCAAAATATTACTGACAAGGATTTTCCAGTGAAATGAAATAAAACAATAAAATTAAATAACTTTGTCCTCACCCTCAAACATTGAGCATTTAATGCACAATTTTTCATACAGTTGACGCAACAAACCTAATTGGACACAAGACAGAATCATACATTTGTCCACTAATATCTATTTTTATCAAATGTAAAAGTCGCTTGGAATGGTAACGCCTGTGTCAGAGCTTGAGTTACCTTAAGTCGCTTTGTCTAATTCTGAACTTCCTGAAGCTGTAAAACAATTTTGAGTTCATCTGAGGAAATATGCAGTGCAAATAGAAAGAATTTGGCGTCAAAGAAATGAGACATAAGATCTGTTACATATATGTTGTTTAATCTAATCAAGATTAAACCCGATTGTTGAATTCTCAGTTCTTGTGTAGTTCGGCTTACTGCGAGTCATGCCTTCGAAAGCTATAGGCTGTTATAGCCATTATCGTACGCCCATCATCAAGATGTCTCTATCCGATTGGCTGAAGTTTAAAATCCCCCTTCGCTTCCTCCTATTATAGGTATTATTTTTGGCTTTCCTCTCAGGTTTCCTTCACCAGATCTCCTTAACTCGATGTTAGTCACCACCAGAGATCAATTGATCAAGGATCTACACGGAATGGAAAATACCCACATTTCATTAATTTTCCTCTAAATGGTGACCAATGAGCACTGGACAAAACTCTTTGTACTGGAGACAGGGATATATGCTCTACAAAAAATTAGAGGAAGAAATTCCTATTATCGAATAGATGTTGAAGTACACTGGTTACCCTTTAGAAATGCATTAACAAGTACGGAAGACTTCAAGTTTCAAATGTCAAACGAATCACAGTGGGAAAGGAAGCATATATCCCTTCAACTCGACTTTAAAGGTGACGTTACTACAGTAACACTCCACAGAAGATTGAATATCCCACTAACCAGATCTTATCCTGAAACTGAGTTGGTTAGAATTTATATGAATTCATCTTGTTTGGTGCATTCAGAAGTCGATAGACACCGTTCTCATTTTATATCTAGCTGAGAATACAAACTTACAAATACCTGCAGTAGCAGTCACATTGAGAGAACAACTACTGTACGTCTTTGATTCTCTGAATATGTACCAAAACGCCTATGTCTCAATGATGACATTGACAGACGTCGCCCTGATACGGTTCATGAGATGAACATCATGAGATTGTCCAAAATTATCGATCGAGAAAATAGTTTGGTTCCCTTCAAGTTAACAGAAGTAATCTCCATCAAACGCTTGAGTCCCGACTCTTGTGTTGAGGAAGAAACAGTGATCAGTCTTTTCTTTCCCTGAGGACTGGTTATCTTTACTTTCTCCTTCATATTACTACGTAATCTTAGAGTTTACGCTGTCCTCACTTTGATATGTGTGTAAAACTTGGACACTGTGGTAGCAAGCAGTTGCAACATACTAATATGGAATGTCCTCACTTGTTTCTATGATTTGAGTTGAATTCACCACATTGATACTCTGTTTATTAGTTACTCAATATCTTATTCTCTTCTTATCTTTATAACTTAACCTTTTTGCATCTGGAGTTACATTTTTGGTTAAACTGCCATTCTCCAGGTATAGAATATATAAGAGTAAATTCTGTCCACTCTTTACCAAGATTGGAGTCCCTTGTCAACTGAAATTATGCAACATTTAAAAGTATGTTAGTACTGTTCTGCATATAAACATTCTATATTATTTGAGACTGTATTCGACTGATGAGAATCTGACGAAATAAATCATAGTGACATCTTGTTCTGAATAAATCATTGTTCTTGCTTCATTAAATTCTATGAACGGGAAATAGGTGCATGATGTTCAACCTGAATCGCTGTCTTCGTCAACTCGTCTGCATATCAAAGTAAATTAGTATTAACAATGTTTGCTTTTTTAATAATAGACAACAACGTTTGACCTATACTGTCAATATACAATGCGTGTATATAAACACCCTGCATAACTACACCGATCTGAAGTGAAGCTACGAGAGGAGATCTCTTTGCTAATGTATGTGTCGTCATTCTTCAAGTGTCGGTTTGCATGGATTTAACTGTTTTCAAGTTGCATCACGAAGTGAATTATTATAAAAACCAGGGAACAATTCTGGAAAGCCACCGACTATTCGCACTCATCACTTGGATGGAGTCTGACCTCATTGCTTTCGATTTATGAGGCCGACATTTTCACTGATCAGCCAACGTATCGGTTGAAAATCAATGACCGGTGATTGCCAACTGCTTTCAGTTCATGATATAGCGCTACTCTCAATCAGTGAAATAGATGACCACTTGTTTCAGTCTGGCGTGATGGACTCAAAGGCCAACGACATTTCAATCGGAATTCATCACATCCATTCATTAGTAAGTGATGGGAAATTACTTCAAGATTTGTTAGTTGCCGCAAGTGATACACCACTTCATAAATCGACTCGTGATAATTTCAAATTTCCATTTCAAATTCATTTCATTCGACAGTCCCAAGTGAATGTCAGTCAAATATACTGAACAACTGATTTCCATTCATTTAAGTGTTCGACTTGTTCAAATTTATACGACTTC